GTCCCTTCCAACCCAGTCTGGGATTCTGGGTTGCTGAGCCAGAGCTGCAGCCCCTAGCAGGGAGGAAGGACCAATCAACCTCCAGCCAGGCCTGGCCAGAGGGTCCTTCTGTTTCCTGGCACTAGTTTCTAATGGAGTAGTCAGGGGGTTTGGGTAGCTCTGCTGCTCTGGGATGAGATGGAATTGGGGTCAAGAGATTCTGGCTGAGGAGTTCCTGAATGTCAGGGTGGGTTTCTGGAAGGTTCTTTGCCTGAAAGATTGTGGAGCTTTTTGGCTTCCCATCATGTGGGAGAAACCAGCATCTTCTGCCTTTGTCACCAGGCAAACACAGCCCCCTCCCCACCCCTGGGCAGAGCTGCTGCTGGGGGGACACCTCCCATGGGGGATCCGGGTGGGAGGTCTCTACCTGCAGCCTCAGCAGCCCCAGCAGGACAGGCTGGGTCATCTCCAGGTGACCTTGTCCAGCTGCTGGGCTGTGTGGGACGAGGGAGGGGGGCACCTGGGGTCACCTCAGTGCCACCCTGGTGAAACTTTAGTATCACCCTGGTGCCTGGTGTGACCCTGGTGTCACTCTGGTTGTCACCTCATTGTCACACTGATGCCCTTTCAGTGCCCCCAGGTGTCACCCTGATGTCACCCCATTGTCTCTGGTGGCTCCCCTGGTGTCCCCCCATGTCCTCCCCACTGTCTCCTGATGTCCCCCCTGTCCCATGTCCCCAGCACCTACGCCCAGCTGACCAACTGCACCGCGCTGCTGGCCGAGCGCCTGGGCTGCTTCTGGCCCAACGCCCAGGTGGACCAGCTCTTCCTGACCATCCACCGGGACTTCTTCTGGAGCTGCTCCCCCTCGGGCCGCGCCCTGCGCGACCCCCCGCCCCACGTCCTCTGCCCCTTCGTCCTCCTGCCCGTCCTGGTCACCCTCCTGATGACGGCGCTGGTGGGATGGAGGAGCAAGCGCAGCCAGGCCCTGGGCTAGGAGCTCCTGCCTCTTCCACGGAATGGGCTTCCTTGGGGCTGTTTTCTGGGAAGCCACCAGGAGAAGAGCATCATCGTTGGAGGTTCCAAACCCTGGAGGCTGAGGTGGAGGCACCACCAGTTCCAAGTTTGAGTCCCAAGTCGAGATGGGATGGAAGAGGTGGTTGGTGGGATGGAGGGGTTGGTGGGAGCTGCCAGGTGGTTCCATGCAGCCCTTCCCAGGGGACCTGGGCACATCCCTGGCCATGAAACCACCTCTTCCCACCCCTCTTTCCCAGCATTCCCAGCAAAGGCACCTTCTCCCATCCCACCCTCTGAGTGAAGGCACCAGGGGGACCTTGGGGGGGTCACGAGCAGCAGGACTGGTGGGAACGCTTCTCCTGGAAGAATAAAGGTGGGACTGAAGCTGGTGGTGCTGAGTCCTGGAGTGGGATGTGGGGGGGTGTTGGTGGGCATTGTGGGGGTCTGGAAGCACTGGAACTGGGAAGCGCTGGAGTTGGGGATCACTGGAATCCGGGATCACTGGAATTAGAGATCACTCAAGTGAGGAGTTGCTGGAGCTTGAGGGAGCAGGGGAGTTGGAGATCACTGAAATCAGGGATCACTGGATTTAGGCATCACTGGAGATTTAAGGGTCACACAAGTTGGGGATCACTGGAGTTCCTGGATCTCCTCCCACCCCTTAAGTGGCCCAGCAGGAGCTGCTCCCCCTCCAACATCCTGAACATCCAGGTCTGGAATTCCAGCCCCCGCCCCCAGCTCCCAATGATCCCAGAGACCTGGGATCATTCCCACCCCAAGGAGCCCAGTGGGTTCCCACGAGCTCGACTGCTCCCCAGAACCAACCCCACCCAACCTCCCTCTTT